ACGGATGACAGACAGGAGCATGAGGACCTGATCATGGAGGGCTCCCTACAGGAGCCCCAAGACCTGGAGGCAGAGGCTGATCACTTCATGTACTCCATCCTACAGAGGGACGGTCTAGGGGCCAAGGTACGGTGTGCTTCATGGCTGTGCCTTGCAAGTGCCCTACTCGGGGCCAGCACTGCCTCTGCAGGACTTGTGGGCTCCAGGGCTCCGCCATCCTCTGTCCTTTCTTCTGTCCTGCTCACCTCTATCACCTGTTTTCCTCCTAAGGCTGCCAGGGGCTGCTTTTGCCCCTGCACCAGTCTTCTTGCTTGGTGTCTTCTGCTGACTGACTCAGCCTTTCCCTCTCCTGTCCTTTTCTCTGTGTCTGTCCGTTCACCTGGGTGATGTCCTGCCTCCTGTCCCTGTGGCTCCCTCAGGAGGAGGTGCAAGTGCGTGTCCCAAAACTGGAGGTCTCCGGGAGCAGGATGGGGGCTCAGATAGTGAAACGAGCCAGTCTGAAAAGGGGGAAGCATTGACCCCCCTCAAATGGCCTCTTTGGAGGTAACCCCCCACCTTTGCTCTTCCTTTTGTGCCAGCTCTTTGTCCCGCTGGGTTAAAGGTAGCAGGGATGTATATTGCATGGTGGTGTCTGTCTTCTCTCTCTCTCTCCAATTTCTACTTTATGTTAGTGAGATATCTGTGGTACATGATAGTCAAGACCTTTGTGTTTGTGGACATATGGTCATACAGACAGTGTCTATTGTCTGCAGCTGTCCCTAGAGAGTCCCTGGGCCAGCCTCAGTCGAGGCAGTCTTCCTACTGCTTTACTCTTGCTATTTTCTACAGCATGCAAAAGCAGCTCAGGGAGTGCATTAAGAACTTGTGGGGTCTTCCATGCTCCTGTGAGAACAAGGTGCAGTGAGTCACCTTCGTTGAAACAGGGCTGGCCTCCAATGGATGGGATATATCTGTCCCAAGCTCTACAGCAGCCTTCCCAGCTCCTTTCAGTGCTGTGCTGGCTTTGGTGAAGCTCAGCTCCTACTTATCGCTGCTCCCTGCATCTGAGGTGGCACCATTGATACCATTTGTGCCATTGCTGTGGGTTCCAGGCAGGGCACTCGTCCATGCTCTGATGCTGCCTCTCTGGCACCTCCTGTAAAACTCATCTTGTGGGTGGTCAGAACGGATGCGTGTGGAACAAGTGTAGGCTGGGACTACATGTGCCTGGTGACCCCATCTCTGTGTCTTTCTGTGTCTCTCCAGGATCTCACCTCAACACCAAACCACTGATCTCCACACCAACCTGAGAAGAGAGGAGAGGAAAACAGAGATTGGAGGGAAGCAGGGCTGGCTGTACATGTTTCAATAGGCTAATGGCATGATTTCTGTACGAGATACTTACCGTCCTATCCGCATGACTGACTGACTGCAAGACGCATGAGCTACAGTACTTCCAGCAGACAGAGGGACCCTGTCCCTGCCTTGCTGCCATCAGGAGCCTATAGACAGCAGCACGCACAAGGGGCATCCTTCGGCTCCTCTGGGAGGCCAGAGCTGGACTGGCAGCAAATGAGAGGGGAGAAGAATCCACCCTCGCACGTCCGCCTGCGTCACTACATCCCTGTGCAGTGCTCCAGTGGCAGGAAGGAGGCTGGGGCTGCTCACTGAAGGAGAAGAGTGGCTCTATCCCCGTCACCATTCTTGCCTCTGCTGGACTCGCTTCTCATCCCTCTCAGTGAGTGCTGGGGCAGGGGGAGGGCAGCAATTGGGGATGTGAGAGAGGAGGGCTGTGGGTGCAGTGTTGCCTGATGCAGGGCTGCCCTTCCTCTCCCCAGCATGTGCAGCATCTCCTGCCAGGGCAGGGCTCTGGGTCGAGCACTGAGCTCGTTGCTTATGTTGAAAGTGTAAACTGTACAGCAATCAGCCTTGTGTATATGAACCAATAAATACTATGCAAACACCTAGGGACACTCTAGCAGTATGTACAAAGCACTAACAGCTCCACTCCCAAATACCTCTTCAGGCTGCAGGATGGGCAAAGCCTTTGGAGTATGTGAGCAGCTCTGGTGAATGGAGCTGGGAGCCTACAGGTGTGAAAGGGTGGCAGATTGTCTTGTCCTGTGCCCTTCCATCTGAGTCTGGTCCCTTCTTGGCCTGAAGAGAGAGGCCCACGGGGGCAGCCCCATGGGCTGGTCCATGGTGCAAGCCCCAGTTTGTGCTGGCTTCAGCTGGGGTGAGGCTGGCAGCTTGCACTGAGGTGCTTGGGGCCCAGGGAGGATAGGCAGTGAGAGCAGGGAAGGCTTGTGCCACGCACTGGGTTGTGCCTAGCTCTACTCAGCACAATATCTGCTCAGGAGATGGGCCAGGAGCTGGCAGGAGCCAGAAGCCCTGCACTACTTTGCAGGGCCTCCTGGCCTCCCTGTGAGGGCACAAATGAGCACAGACCCTTGGCCCCGTGGATGTTGGCCCACCCAGGACCAATCCCAGAAATGGGGGGAGCTGCTCCCTTGAGTGGCTGCACTTTGGCCAAGTGAATGCCCTTCTGCAGCCACCGGGCTAAGCAGTCGTCACCCTGAAAGCAAGGGCAGTGCTGGGGCTGCTGCTCTGGCAGGAGAAATCGTGGTGCTCAGGGCTGCCCAGGCAGCACCGAGATGTGCAGAAGGTTGAATCTGCTACAAAACTTGACCCTGGAAGGATAGAATGCAGACAGCAGTAGGTCTGTGTCCCCAGCTCTGTCCTTTGCCTAACCAACAGGGGAGTCTGGCCTTTGTAGCATGGTGGTGTGGAGACCCCCTTGCCCTTTCCCCAGAGGTGGCTGTGGACTTGTTTAGCAGGGCCTGATGCTGCTCTCGGTGGCCACATGCAGAACAAGCCCACCTCCAGCTTCAGGCAGGGCAGCCCTGTCTCACAGTGGGTGCACGTATGCCAGGAAAGTCTCTGGCTCTGCTGTAGTCCGGATAAAAAAACCCAGATGCAGCAAAGCAAGTGGCCCAGCTTAGCCATGGAAAGCAAGGCAACCCCTTCCTCACCCCACCTCGAAGTAGGCACAGACTCCATCCATTACCCTTGCTGTGTACAATAACCTACCTAGACCCACTGCAACAGCTGACCCTGTAGCATCACCGTAGAGTTGTGTGTGGGTCCTGTGCTTTGGCCTAGTCTACGCCTTAGGGAATGTGCTGTGCTGCAACTGTGCCCGGCACCTGCAGTGACATTGCTTTGCGCTCAGATTGCTCGTAGGGCTGGTAGGGGGAGGCTGCACCCAACATTGAGCCTAGAGAATGCTGCAGTCTGCACACACTAGAAGCTTTTTAGAAGTTTTAAAAATTACTTTTATTTCCTTTTTTTAATTGTTATGGAAACAAGCCTTTTGGATCTCCCTGTCTTAGCCCCTGATGTATAGATCATATCCCTGTACACCAGCTATCGGACTATGGATTAATAAAGAAACTAACACAGACCACGTCTCGTCTCTGCTTTTCCAAGGGGAATGGGAAGATGGAGGCTGCTGGGTGCTGCAGTGAAACCCAGCGGGCAGCCGAGCCCTGCAGGATGTGGGGTGGTGAAGTGTGTTCTCACAGTGTTCTCCTTCCCACAGCATTCTCCTGCAGAAGCTGGCAGCTTGGACAGGTACGCTCTTGGCTGGATAAGGAACTGGCTGGAGAGTGTGGTGAATGGAGTTAAATCCAGCTGGCAACCAGTGGTGTCCCCCAGGGCTCGGTGCTGGGGCCTGTCCTCTTCAATATCTTTATTAAAGACCTGGATGAGGGCACTGAGTGCACCCTCTGTAAGTTTGCAGATGACACCAAGTTGGCTGGAAGTGTAGATGTGCCTGGGGGTAGCGAGGCCCTACAGAGGGATCTGGACAGGCTGGAGAGCTGGGCTGAAGCCAGCGGGATGAGTTTCAACAAGGCCAGATGCCGGGTCCTGCACTTTGGCCGCAACAACCACAGGCAATGCTACAGGCTTGGGGCGGAGTGGCTGGAAGACTGCACAGAGGAAATGGACCTGGGGGTGTTGATTGGTGCTCGGCTGAACACGAGCCAGCAGTGTGGCCGGGTGGGCAAGAAGGCCAATGGCATCTTGGCTTGCATCAGGAACGGTGTTGCCAGCAGGAACAGGGAAGTGATTGTCCCCCTATGCTCTGCTCTGGTGAGGCCGCACCTCGAGTGCTGTGTCCAGTTTTGGGCCCCTCACTGCAAGAAAGACATTGAGGCCCTGCAGCGGGTTCAAAGAAGGGCAACAAAGCCGATCTGGAGGGGTCTGGAGCACAGGCCTGATGAGGAGCGGCTGAAGGAGCTGGGGTTGTTCAGGCTGGAGAAGAGGAGGCTCAGGGGAGACCGTGTTGCTCGCTATAGCTACGTGAAGGGAGGTTGTAGCGAGCTGGTGGTCAGCCTCTTGTCTCGTGTAACTGGTGATAGGACTAGAGGGAATGGCTTCAAGCTGCACCAGGGAAGATTTAGGCTGGACGTTAGGAAATTCTGCTTTTCTGAAAGAGTGGTCAGGCACTGGAATGGGCTGCCCAGGGAGGTGGTGGAGTCACCGACCCTGCAGGTGTTCAAGGAACGTTTTGGATGTGTTGATGGATGTGGTTTAGTGATTCCTATTGATGACAGGCAGATGGATGGTTGGAGAGGATGGTCTAGGAGGTCTTTTCCAACCTTGGTTTTTCTGTGATTCAGTGATTCGTGACTCTGTCACAGCCCCTCCCCTTTGATTCCCCGCGGTCCGCCCGGCGCTGTCCAGCGGCCGTGGTGCTGCAACGCAGCGTCCCGCAGCCCGGGCCCCGCGGCGGCTCCTTCGCCGCCGGCTCTCAAAGCACGATTTGTCTGGGCAGAGCCAATCCCGGGCTGCCCGTGAGCGTAGCCAATTGGAATCGAGGTTGCGGTGATCCGGCCAATGGGCGCTAGCCCTTGAAGCTGCTCGGCCAATGGGAGCGCCGTATTCTAATAGACCTCATCTTTATCAGAGAAATGTTGCCTCTTCCCAAGCCCAAGTTGAGTGCCCGGTGCCGGTGCCACGTCGGGTGCGGGGTCAGCCGGGGGCAGCTGCCACCGACGCAGTGACCACCTGCTGCCGTGGCCCTGGCCCCCCAGGGCAGCTCGCCCAGCCTTTCGGCTGCCCATTGGCAACGTGGCAGCTGGTGTGGACACTGCGAGCCAGTAGCCCCAAGGCCGACCGGGATGGGCTGCGCATCATGCCCTCGGAGTGCCAGCCTCTGAGAGCAGTCCAGGAGCCATGGACACCAACCTGCCAGGCACCTTCCTGCTCAGCGGCCCTTCACTGGCCCCCTTCCCTGAGGCCAAGGCACCTGTCTGCCAGTACTCGGTGCAGAGCTCCTTCTACAAGCTGGGTCCCCCCGGGCTGGGTGCCCAGCTGGCCGCCGGCACCCCACACGGCATCTCCGACATCCTCGGCCGGCCCACAGCGACTCCAAACAGCAGCCTACTGCCCAGCTACCCCCACGCAGGTGGATTTAATGGACTGAGCTCCCCAGGCGTCTATTATGGGCCGCAGGTGGGGGCCCTCCCTAAAGCCAGCAGCGATTACGTGCCGCGGGGCAGGAGCTGCTGGGCAGAGGCACCCGACTGGCAGGGCAGCCGGCAGTGCGGTGGCCGTAAGTACGGGGCTGGGAGAGGGTGGGCAGCTGGTGGGACCCCCGTCTCCTCCATTGCTTTGTGTGAGGCACAGCTTGACACCTGGGGATGTGCTGGGGGGGCACGGCTGGGAAGCTGAGGCAGAGCACAGGCAGACCCCATACTCACAGAGATCCCAACCCCTGGCAGCATCCCTTGGTGAATGCCAGGGACAAGGACGGTCCTGCGCTGGCATGCAGCTGGCAGGGACATTGTGGAGCACATTGCTGCCATGATGGGACTGTGCTGGGTGAGCACAGACACAAGCTTGTGGGGAGCCCACAGAGAACCCAGGGGCTGAGGCTCTGGCTCACCGCCTGCAGCCCTGTTCCCCTCTCCAGGTGATGCTCATGGAGCAGATGGATCAGCTCTTACTTCCTTCCCACTGCACACTTAGGGAGGTGGGGGGCATGGGCATGATGCTCCCAGTGCAGCGTGGCTCTACAGTCACATGCTGCTCCTAATGCTTGTTCCCTTCTCAGCACAGCAAATAGTTTCTGCTCCCAAGCAGGAGGTGCAGAGCCCAGCCTTGGAGGCAACGCGGCTCTCCCGGGACGAGGTCGAAGCTGTGGAGCCAGGATATTGTTTTACTTTGGAGGAGAGCAGCAGCATAAAGGGGTGTGGGGATTGGGCTGCCCAGAGCCGTGAGTCCGGTGCTCACCCACTGCCCTTGTCCCAAAGCCCCTGCGCACCTGACTGACAGCCTGCACAAGAAGAAGCACACGCGTCCGACCTTCACAGGGCATCAGATCTTCGCTCTGGAGAAGACATTTGAACAGACCAAGTACCTGGCAGGGCCAGAGAGGGCACGGCTGGCATATTCCCTCGGCATGACTGAGTCCCAGGTGAAGGTGAGTGGGGGATGTGTGGGGTGTGGGGTGTGTGGCAGGCGGCTGCTAACAGCCCTGTTGGGCTGCAGGTTTGGTTCCAGAACCGACGCACCAAATGGAGGAAGAAGAGTGCCCTGGAGCCCTCCTCCTCCTCACAACGGGCGGGGGGCTCCAGTGGAGAGCGGGCAGCCTCTGAGACCGAGGATGATGAGTACAACAAGCCCCTGGACCCTGACTCTGACGATGAGAAGATCCGGCTGCTGCTGAGGAAGCACCGTGCAGCTTTCTCTGTGCTGGGGCTGGGCACACACAGTGGCTGAGCACCTGGGAATGGGTTCTGCTGTGCCCCCACTGCAGCTCCTGCCCAGGGCTCAGGGTCTGGGAACGGCAGCAGTGAAATAAAGGCCCCTGCCCCAGCACTTACTACATGGGTCTGCAATGCCGGGTACCCCAAAGGCTGGGCTGGGAAGGAGCTGAGGCTGGGGGTCCATGTATGGGGCAGGAATGTCCCCCCAGAGCCCTCCCCAGAGTTTCCCCAGATTGGGTGTGTGCTGGTAGCAAGAAGTGCTGTCCAAAAGTCACTCGTTAGGGCCTCTTGTTGGAACCTATTAGCAGCAAATAAATATCATTTATCTTAACTGTGTGAGTGAGAGCCCATTCACCTGTCGGGGCTGCAGGATTGATGCGGCAGCAATAACCCTGGCTTGTTTGCTGCCAACCTGTTGGGGCCCCCCCATGCTGCACCCAGCTTGGTGCAGGCTGCAGGCACTCCTGGGGCCATGCCCCCCCCTGATTCCCACTGGCTCAGCTTCTGCTTGCTGATGGCACGGGGCCACCACCTGTCCTTGCTGCCTGAGGTGCCAAGGGGCTGCTGCTGGGGCCGCCGAGAGCTGACAAAGTGCAAGCAAACAGTGCTACGGTGTCCTGGTGGAGAAATCAATAGGCAATGATAAGGTGCTGCTGGGCCATTGTGCAGTGGTTGGCTGTGTGGCACAGGAGTGGAGGTGTTGTTGGGGGCCCCTCTGGCAGCTGCAGGCAGCACTGGTGTCCAAGTCCCCACTTGCACAGTGCAGGTCCTGCATCACAGCAGCCCCCAGTGCTCCCTTATGGCATCGGGATGCTGCAGGCTGACACTTGGGCCCCCACCTGCCTGGCTACAAGGCACACACACAGCTCCAGTTCCTTGCTTTCCATCACACTTTGAGCTCTGCAGGTATCCCTGCACATCCTGGGGGTTTGAACTACCCCAGCAGCATGGGAGGTGTGATGCTACCCCGACCATGCTGTCCCTGGGTTCCCCTGAGCTGATGCTGCAGGGCTGTGGAGTCATGCACCATCCCTGAGCATTGCAGTGCAGGAGCGTTCTCTGCGTGGCCGGAGTTGTGAGGCTGCTGCTGGGATATTTTTTTGACATTTTCTAAGCTGCTCGACGTGGCTGACAATTTTTAATGTACTAACTGCCTGGTCCAGTGAGCTGATTAATTGGTGCTGTGGAGATCAATAGAAAACAGAAAATTAAAACAATTTTAAAGTGATTAAGTAGTTTAACACCTGTCTGATGCCACGTCAGTGCTGGGAGACAAATAAAGCAGGTGGCAAAGGGCCGGCTGCAGCCCAGGAGTGACAAATCGTAGCCACAGCCTGGCTGCCTTAAGCATCCCATCGCCGTACCTGAGCTGCAGAGCTGCTCACGGGGCTGCAGCCCAGGATTAATCCCACCTCCAGCTCTCCTCATCCTGCAACCCTGCAGCCAGAACCAATGGATGGTGCCAACCACGTGGCATGGCTGATGGTGCTGTGGCAGTTCCAGCCAGCACTGGAGCTCATGGGGCTCACGGAGCCAAACCCATGGTGAGAGCCAGCACTGCATCCCAGGCCCTCCTCGTCCTCCTCACTGGGCACTACTCTGGAGTGCGAGCAGGGTGGGCTGGCAGGCAGATGGATGGCAGCTCCGTTTCAATTCCACATCCCTTTTCTCCCAGACAAACCCCGTCGGATTTTCATAAATCAAAGCGCCACACTGTTTAATAAAAATTTATTGACTTACAAGTGATTATTTATCAAAAGGCCATTAATAGCGGCTCCGGGAATGATGTGCTACTGGGTGGTGTGGGGAGACTAATAGCAAATCAATGCCAGCATCTGGGCAGAATGCATATGAGGGCCCCCAGCCCCAACGGGCTGCATGGCTGCTGCTGCCAGGGCCGGCAGCCCTTACCCCAAGGGCTGCCCCACGCTCCCCCCAGTTATTTATCGCTTACAAATGAAATGATCAATACTTTTAATCTAGAGCTAAATTTATTAACTTTCCCATCGGAGAGAGACATATTGACTGGGAGCAAAGGGAGGGGGAGCTGAGGAAAGATGGATGCGTGCTTGCTCACCTGCCCAGCCTGCTGCATAGCATCCCAGCAGCAGCAGGACCTTGAAGATGGCCCCAAGCACAGCAAGGAGGATGGAAGCAACCAGGAGCCACAGCACCTGTGACAGAGCCAGGGGCCCGCTGCAGGCAGACTGGCAGGCAACTGCAGCCAGGTCTGAGTTCTGGGTACTATGGGCACCCAGCATGGCAATGCCTGCTCCTGGCATAGCCCCTGCCTCTGAGTGTAGCTATTTGCACAGCCAAAGGCAATGCCCCGTCCCTCTGGAAAAGTGGAGCTCTGGGTGTGATGAATGCTCAGGGAAAAGTGGCTGGGGAAAGGCGAAGGGAGCCTGGAGAACCTGCCCCAAATGAGCAGTGGTGTTCATGTTCCCCAGCCCAGTGCAGCACACCTGACTGAGGCTCAGTGCAGGGACACCAAGGGGGCACGGCCCAATGTGGGCACCCTCCCTGTGGCTCTCCAAAGCCATTCAGAGCAGGGCACACCTGCTCAGTGTGGGGCTCAGTGCAAAGGACCTGAGGCAGGGAAAAGCTCCGTAAGCCTGGAGGCTGGAGCAGCCATACACGTTTTGTGCTGCAGCCCTGAGAGGCATAGGCTTATAAGATTCCCTTGGTTGTCAAGGCAGCTTATCTGAGCAGAGCTCACCAGTTTCTGTGCCGTGGGAGACTTGTGACTGACACACATGCACATCAACACACCAGCCCTCCCCCTGGGCCTGTAAACACCATATGGAAGCATATGACACCAGAAGTGTTTCATTTAATATTGCCCCTGCAAGGGGCTTTACTGTAACAGTAACAAGAAGGCATCTGTGCCAAGAGTTGCCCAAGGCCTGAAGGCTCTAGGCAGTAATTATGCCTCCAGGAAAGAAGAGCCAGCAGATGAAGGAGTAAGTCCAAACAGCTCTGGAGTAGCCAAAGTCCAAAGAAATGGAGCTGCTTCAGACAAGACCTGGCTCACACTGGAGGCAGAGAGCTCTGGCCAGGTAACAGTGCTGGAGACAGAGGACTCAGGAGCGGCTCCGGTCTTCATGGTTGCCTACAATCATTTTGCTGTAAAGTTTCTGCTGCTCCTCCTTGAATGTATCTTTCACCTTTTCCCTCTTTAGACCTCCATCCCTAGAAAAAGAATCATTCACAATGGAGCTAAAGGAACACATTTGACACTGCTACTGGGGCTGCTCTGAGCAGGCTGGAAATCCCACATCAGCCTGATGAGTGCATTTGTCCCTTAGGTTGACAGGGCATACTGAAGGCTGACTGGCCACAGAGGTGGCTCTTTTCGCCTCACGCTCTGCCAAGAATGTCACACATAGCCCTGCACAGTGCTCAGCACATCCAACATCACACTGCTTGCAGGGGCCCTCAACCTCTCAGGCTCCAAAGATCTCAATGCCTGACAAGGGAGGTTCTCATACTTCACATTTTTCTTTCAGCTTTTGCTTTTTGTTCAGCTTTGCTGAACAATATCAAGTGAGAACTGGGGCATCTCAGAGCAAGCTGCATTCAGAGAACGAAATTTTGGTGCCCAACACATAGAACAGAAGTCAAAATGCTGGTCTTGACTATAGAAAGGCAGTTTTGGACATGCACCCCCACTTCTACACAGGTCTACTCTGCCCAGTGCAAGACACAAACTTAGCTTTGCAGCTTACAAACACGTATCAGGACCCAAGAACAGGAAAACACTAGACCTGGGAGGAGAAATGTCTGGGAAGACTCACCAGAGCAGGTCTACAAGGCCTCCCTGCCTGGCAATAGCTGACTTCACTCGATTGGCAAACTGGACAGCATCCTCATCACACTGTAGGAAAAAGACACTGTTCAGACAGAGCATAAGGCAAACAGGCAGCAGATCAGACAGGGCAGGTTCACCTTACTTACCTGTCTGGTCATTGGGGGCAAGTACCACACACTGCAGACAATGGCCCAGCTGGTCATCATTCTAAGGAGGTAGGTTACCATGCCATACTTGCTGCTGTTCCAAAAGGCATCTCCAAACTGTGGATCATACTATGGAGGAAGGAGAGCTTATGAATGTCAGGTAATGGATGCACTTTCCCTGAGGTTCAGAGTTCTACATCAAATCCAACTATGGGACATCCCTCCCCCACTGCGCATCCCTGATGTGCAGTAAGCTCAGCATCCCCACATTCCATGGTCTGAGGACCAGGCTGTTGTGACCCAGTAGTGCCAGTACTGGGCAACCAACAGTGACCTTGTAAGCAGATAACTATTTCTGCTGTAAAAATGTTTGCTTTCTCATACCTTGATGGCTACAGGGTAAACTGTGGCTCCAATTTCAAAGCTCCCCTTTTTGAACATCATCACAGATGTGTTGTTGATGCAGGTTCCTGTAAGAGACAAGCACAATCTTTGCAAGTCAGTCCAGAAGTCTAAGCTATACACCTGCAGGCATCCAACAACCAGGTGCCTGCCTGGCCTAACTCTTCAACTCACCTTCCGGAAAGATAAGAATAGGCAGTTTGCTCTTGTCCTGGACGTGCTCTGTGAGCCTAAACAGAAGAGAGTCACCAGCTATCATGGGAGCTGTCCTGGCAATCCACACAGCAGCCCCCAACCCTTTCCCAGCCTCCAGAGCCCCCCTGCAGCTAGCAGCTTTCACACCTTTTGGCAACGAGGTGACGGTCTTTGACCTCAGAACGTTCAAACCAGACGTGGGGGCAAGCTTTCACCATAGCTCTCTGTATCACACCCATGAGCCCTCCGTGGATTTGACCCACCTGAACAGAGTGAGAAAATGTAAGTTACAAAACCTGGGACATACGAAGGCCAAGGCAGCTCCTATAGCTTTGCTGCTAAGCTGAAGTTCATCTTTCTACCCCAGTCCTTGTAAGGCTGAGAGGAAAAGCTCCAGGCTCTAAATGTAAAGATGCAGCAAGCACCAAGGGAGGTCAAGTTTGCTGGAAAGCAAGCAACACAACAGCAGGCAGAGTGGGGGTGCAGACCTTACCATTGCATAGTAGCCATCACTGGCCAGAATGATCACGTCAATGGGGGATGTGTGATTGGCCACGCAAATGCCTCCATTTCGAGGTCTGTTTTCTCTAAATGCAAAACAAAAGCACAGATTAGGGCAGAGAAATGAAGAGTGAGGCCTGCAAGAGGCACAGCATGATGCAGCCAGTGGGGACAGACACTGAAGCAGACAGTGCTGCCTTACCGGTCATGGTAGGTGATGATGGCTGTGAGGGCACGCACGCAGATCCGGTAACACATCAGGTGAACGTGCTTGCTGAGGAACTCTTTACACCTGCCACCCAGAACAGAGACCATCAGCCCCAGCTGTCCATATTGGGGCTACTCAGCCCAGCTGTCTGAGGTCAGGAGATCCCACTGAGACTTCACATCATGCCCACACCTCCTGCTCGGTTCTGCTGGTTGCTTACTGATTCATATCTCATGAGAACCAAACTTTTGAATTGATCCTCTCTGTTTTTACTCCTTTCAGAGACCTGGGCTAAGAGCTCTGTCACAGGCTTAATATTCACATCTAGGCCTTTTTAAGATATACATTCCTGACAGGCTACGGATGACAGGACCGCCTGCCTCATCTGCAGCACGCAGAAGAGACAGGCCTTGCAGGAAAATTTCCTAATTATCAGTTCTCAAACAGCACAGGGAGCTGCCCATCACTTCTTTCAAAGGTCAACTCACCTTCCATTTGGCAAATA